TCCTCTGGTCTTGCCAGACTTGCAAGATCGAATTCGAGTCATGGTAGTGGGAGCGGGGAGAAAACATTTAGGAACTAGAGGAAAGTTGTATTTGTCGTGCATTCTTACAAAAGATCGGGACTTTTTTTAAACGCCAAAATTTGGGACTGTCCCGCCAAAAGCGGGGCGTCTGATCACCTTACCTTAGGGGCAAGATCTGCCTCTTATTCCCACCCGCCCCCGTGCCCTCAGCACAAGGCATAGGGCCTGGCACAAGAAAGTATCCTTCAGTGAGACCAAGCTGTAGCCTCTGGTCAGTCAATAGAGAGCCAAGGCCCAGGTTAGCACTGGGCAGGCGGATGTGAGTCCTGGAGCAACCGGCTCTGTCATTGGTTTCAGAAAAACCACCCCAGGCCCTTGTTGGAAATAGGTTTCTCCTAGACGTTAGGCGCTTTCTGAAGTCCCTTAGCTTTTTCCAGGGAATTCAGTGGGGAAAACTCTGACCAGCTGACAGGAAGAAGACCCATTCCGCCCTCAAGGAGCTGTCTCTCAGTCCAGTAAACCCAAAACATGTTCACTGCCACTGAGTCGATGCCGACTCCCGGCGACCCTATAGGACAGGGTAGTCCTGCTGCTGTGCCTTTCCAAGACTGTCACTCTTTATGGGAGTAAAAAGAGTAGAAAGCCCCATCTTTCTCCCCCAGGGCAGCAGGTGGTTTCAAACTGCAGACCTTGCAGATCGCAGCCCAGCACATAACCACTACGTCACCATGGCAGGAAGACGAGTGCGTTACCCACTTTGATGGATTCTGAAACAGAAAGGCGAGCAAAGTCACACAGCCTTTGGCCATCAGGACCAGGCCAGCTTCTAAGTTCACAGCTGGGCTTTTCCTCTGCCCACGACCTCGGGTCTCGGTGACACTTGAGGGGCAGGCACTTCTGTCCCCAAGTTACAGACAGGAAATGAAAAAGCGGAAATGGAACAGAACAAAAAAGGCCACGCTTAAGGGAGAAATGGGAGGCTGCTCAGAGTTTCAAGCCCCATTCGGCACCAAGGCCTTCCTGTTTTCAGGGGAGGTGATTACATAGAAAATGGCCGGGTATGGTCTGTACGGATTCAGTTCCCCTCTGTTAGTTGGCCCTGGATCAAGCCGTCCTGACTCAGCAAGACAGAAGAACAGCCAGGGTGCTGTTTGTCACCTTCTCAGTCCAAGACAACAGGAGCAACTGCTGGGCCTTCGTGTGCGACTCACTGAAGGACGTTATTGGCCCCTTTGCTTGGGCCCCGTCCATCCTGCTCCTTTTGCAGAAAGGAAGCGAGGGAGCGTACCAGAAGGAATGTGCACCCAGAGAGGTATCTACAGAGCACTGGAAGTCCTGAGTGGTAGAGCTAGAAGGAGCCTTCTATACTAAGCGGAAAGCTTGAGTTGCTGTGTTCCTGCTTCGGGGGGAGCAGTAGGGTGCTGTCAGGTGGTGTCCAGGTGGCCCTGCGTGGCAGAGGAGAACTGCCCAGCAGGCTTTCTTGGTTGTGATCTTGACAGGAGCAGATCGCCAGGCCTCTCTCCTGCAGGGCTCTGGGTGGACTTAAGTCCCCAGGTTTTCCAGGAGCAGCGGGTGCGGAGCCACCTTGCCGCCAGCACTCCATGAGCCCCAGGGGAGCCAGGACGGAAATAGAGGTGCAGTTCATTGCATACTGAATGGTCAGTGGTAGTGGCCCAATTCCTCAGGCCCAGCCTTAGGATTTACCTAGACTCTAATGCACCTTTCTCTGGCTTTTCGTTCACGTGCACATGTCCGTGCTAGGTGCAATTTTACACCTACTGTTGCAGCTAACACGCGCTTGTTTTTATGCAGGGCGGCTCACTGTGGAGGGCTCCTGGTGGTGCCGTGGTTGAGCACTCAGCTGCTAATGATAGGTCTTCGGTAGGACACCCTAGAGACTCGGAGGGCAGAGAGGGGACCAGTCTGCTTCCAGAAAGATGGACAGCCTGGGGGGCCCATTCTACCCCGGCCTATGGGGGCCCTGTGAGTTGGAATTGACACTCATGGGTGGGTTGATGGGTCATTAAAACTGACTTTATCATGATAACTACCAAATGCTCTATCAATGAATATATAATAACTACCAAATACTCTCTCTTTGCCCTTATGTCAGATATTTTGGTGGTCTGTAATTAAAAAAAAAAAAGCTAGGTTTTTTATCGTAAAGTATAATGGAGTGAACATCTGTGGACCTATTTGTTTTGTTTTCTGTACTGTGGATTCCTTCCTTAGGCAAGGGTCCAGAGTGAGCCGAGTGGCGGGGCATTTTCTTTATTGCCACGTTGCCCTTCCAAAGGGTCCTACCAGGTTACAGAGCCACCAGCAGTCGGCAGGGGCACCTCACGGTCACCCCTCACACGACGTCACCTTGTAGTGTCAAAGCCTGCGTCTTGGGGACGTGCTGAGGGCAGGACCTGGGACTCCTGCTTCTCGCTTTGGAGGCACATTAGTCCCCAGAGAGCAAAACCAGACACTGGCCACGCGAATAAGCCTCATTTGGGAGGTGGGGAGCAGGTAAGGGGAGCACCCACAGAAGGTCACACCAGCTCTTCCTATCCCATAGGGAGGTGCTTGAGTGGAAGAAACACCCCAAACTAAATAACCAGACTCACTGCCATCGAGTCGAGTCCGACTGATAGCGGGCCTGGGGACAGAGGAGAACTGCCCCTGGGGTTTCTGAGGCGGCAGCCGTCCGAGGGCTGGCGGTTTCCTTGCAGTGAGCGGTCCGTCAGGCATGCCATTAGC